AAGTGGTGGTGCCTCGACAAGCTGGCTTTTCAAAAATAAAGAACATGGAAAAGCTAGTGCTGCTGCAAGTCTGGTGCGTAGTTTTGCTGGTCGGGTGTCACTATTCGTTTTTCATTTTCTATCATGAGTTAATGATTGTTCCGGCCTAAACATTTAGGGTATGATCCTGCTTTGGGATGTTGATTCTGGTCTTGCACAAATTGACAAGTATTTCCATAGTACTGATACCCATGTCATTGCCGGTGCACTATTAGGAGTTGGGATTGTAAACTGTGGTATCAAGAACGAATGTGATCCGGTGAGCTCCTTGATGTTGTGTTTCACTATGTTTCTTCTGCAAAACATGCTAGGCTTGGATTTTAATTTATTTCTTTTGAGCAGGCATTGGCACTTCTAGCTGAGTACATAGACAAAGAGGACCCTTCAATTAGAATTGGTGCTATAATGGGCCTTGGTCTTGCTTATGCTGGTTCTCAGAATGAGCAGGTAGAGTTCATAGTTATCTTTTGTTTGTGTGGACATGAAACTCTTTTGTAGTTTAGCAATAGGTCTACTGTGTAAAAACTTTATATTTGGTACAGCGGAAGGTTCTAGAGATATACAACTATTTAATTGACTTCATGATTTTCAGATCCGTAGTAAATTGACTCCAATACTTGGAGATAGTAAGGCTTCCCTTGATGTGCTTGCCTTTACTGCTATATCATTGGGATTGGTATATGTGGGTTCGTGCAATGAAGAGATTGCTCAGGCAATAATATTTGCATTGATGGAAAGAAGTGAGTCAGAATTAGGCGAGCCCTTTGCCCGCCTGTTGCCTCTTGGTCTTGGTCTCCTGTATCTTGGAAAACAGGTAACAATACTATATAGAGTCAACCTTGAAACGAAAAATATTTGTTCTTAACGTTAGTATCCCAAAAGCCTGGATATTTGTTGATCAATGTTCTTGCAGTGAACTGTTAGATCTTGCGGAACTTTTTTCTTGCCATGATGATTTTGGATCAATCTGCCAATTTTTTATAGGAAAGTGTCGAGGCTACAGCTGAGGTCTCAAAGACTTTCAATGAAAAGATTAGAAAACATTGCGATATGACCCTGCTTTCTTGTGCCTATGCTGGGACAGGCAATGTGCTCAAGGTAGTACAAGACTTGTGCTTTTAAGTGGTTTCATGAGAGTAACAGTAATAGCTGAAAGTTTCAATGTCTCAGGTCCAACATTTTCTTGGTCAATGTGCCCAACATTTTGAGAAGGGTGAAACCTTCCAGGGACCTGCCGTCCTTGGTATTGCAATGGTGGCAATGGCTGAAGAACTGGGGCTCGAGATGGCCATACGCTCGCTAGAACACCTTTTACAGTATGGAGAGCAAAATATCAGAAGAGCAGTTCCTTTGGCTCTTGCCCTCCTCTGCATTTCAAATCCAAAGGTATATTGGAAAATATATGTATCAGTGACCTCGTTTTGTCCTTTTCTGTTGCTTCTTTAGAGTTGAGTTGCTGAAAGTTTTATCATAAGCAGTAGATGCCCAGACTTTTTCTTCTTCTCTCGTTTCTCACGTACCAGCATATCTTTTGCTCCTTGGTGGCTTGGACAGGTCAATGTGATGGACACTCTGAGCAGGCTTAGTCATGATTCAGACTCCGAAGTAGCTATGGTATGTTTGAGGAACAGCAGAAAGTAGATATTTGTGTTACTATAGATTTTTTTCCTTCTCAAATCTCAATTGCTTATCTGAATACTGTATGTAGGCTGCTATCATTTCCTTGGGATTGATAGGTGCAGGAACAAACAATGCCAGAATAGCTGGCATGCTGCGCAATCTTTCCAGTTACTATTACAAAGAAGCCAACCTTCTTTTTTGTGTAAGAACTAATTTTCTTATTTCTCTTTTGGCTCCTGTAATATTCAATTACGATCCCTTGCTCTGATCATTGGCATCACTACTTCTACAGGTGCGGATTGCCCAAGGTCTTGTTCATTTGGGAAAAGGATTGTTAACTCTCTCACCATATCATTCTGAACACTTTCTGTTATCTCCGTAAGCCCTCTCCTCTACAACTTGCATGTGGTTCTCCATATTGATGTTTGGAAGAGCAAGCATTATCTAGTCTACACAAAGTGTTTAAAAGCATATCTGCAACACGAGCTGAAAATGATTTTCTTATTCAGTGAAGAAAAGTTCTCATCTTGATGTGTGGCAGTGAACATTGGTGCATTAAACTGCAAACTTTAGCACTAATCTGTTAAATGCCGATTCGTTTGCAGTCTGTGCTGTATATTTGTTCTTTAACTGATTAAAAAAATAAAATACGACTAACCAGTATTCAGAGGATTGAGCTAGTTGGCTGATTGATGGAATACAGCTCAAGCTGAATATGCTAGTTCTCTTTGATCCTATGTAGAGCTGCACAGCTGACCAGCTTTGAACCTTTTCAGGACTGCATTGGCTGGACTGGTAACTATGCTGCATGCATGTCTTGATATGAAGGCCATTATCTTGGGGAAATATCACTATGTGCTTTATTTCCTCACTTTAGCTATGCAGGTTTGCTGTCTGTTGAACAAGCCTATTCCTTTTTGATCTTATTCTGGCTTCCCCACTATCAGCTCCTAAATTTATTTCCTTACTCTGGCTTCACAGCCAAGGATGCTACTGACTGTGGATGAAAATTTGAAACCCTTGTCGGTTCCTGTCCGTGTTGGCCAAGCTGTTGATGTTGTAGGCCAGGCAGGTCGACCCAAGACCATTACTGGTTTCCAGACCCACTCAACCCCGGTTCTCCTTGCTGCCGGAGATCGAGCTGAGCTTGCAACCGAGAAGTATAATTCTTCTTATCTTTGGAATTTTATTTGTAGTTTGCACTTCTTTAAAAAGAAAGCTTTTCAGATTATTCGTGTCGTAGTATATTAACAGTGTCGTTCCTGTAGCTTCTTGTCTTACTCCTATTTGTTGTCAATGCTCAGATACATTCCGCTCTCGCCCATTCTTGAAGGCTTTGTCATCTTGAAGGAGAATCCCGACTATAGAGATGATCAATAGTAATCTCGTTGAGGTATATGAATGAAATGAGTCTAGAAGTTTTAGATGGCCTACGATATCTATCAAGGGAGAATGGCAGGAGACAGTTGATGACACCGTCTAATTTGCTCAAGTTGCTTTTCTATGAGATCCATTTGGTGGCGCAACTGAGGCAATCGGGTCCATCTTTGCTTTGAAGTGTTTGAAAGTTTCCAAGTTTGTTTTTCAGCGGCACGTCTTTACCTGATGTGTTCTTTCCTTTTGTCCCATTGAAGTGTCCCGTGTAAAGTTGCAGATAGTTATTTATTGCTGAAGCTGAAATGGAAATCGTTCTGTTTAGAGCGTATCTGATGCAGAGATTTGAACGGCTTTGGCATCAGACCTTGTGTTTCCGGCATAGTTTAATGATGTTGCTCTATGGGTTGGGACTCGAGAGAGCTGAATTATGTAAAATCGAAAATGACCATTTATGATCATGATATTATTTCTGCATAAAGTTGAGGAGAATTAGAATCTAAAAGGATCTAAGCAAATCAGACAAAGTGTCAGAGATTAATCAATTTCGAACGAATTTTATTTTCGTACATGATTTTTTTTGCTCTATAATGTGGACTTTACGAGCCACCAGAGAAGTCTGAAGGATATCAAAGAGAAATACGACCTTTTAATTGTCCCTGTATTGTCAGAGGATAATTCCAGAAACACAACACCATGAGCTATAGCTGTTAACACCATGAAGAATTGAGAAATGACGGTTCGAACTTACATCTAATTTATTTGAACCTTATCCCATATGTAAATTATTAAGTGTAAGAGTAGATTAACAATATATGAGTAAATGCTAAGAAGATATTAAATTTGATAGAATAAGTTCTATTACAATTACAAACTACATATGTACAAGACCAAATCTAATTAAAAGGGCACTACACCAATTACTGGATGACTGCGACACCTTAATTGTGCAACTTCAGCAAAGTTTCATTAGCACGTATTTTCGTTTTTAATTTTATTTATTCAATTGGTAGATGGTAACCAATTTCATGCACCATCCTCATTTCATTATTACATTATTATCTAAATAGATGCAAAACAGATGCCCCTCCGATCAGATTCATATTCACATAAAGCTACTCATAAACTAGTGCTGCAAGTACATATCAAGTAACGTGGACTACACAATCTGGGAATATTGTAGTTCAAAAGAATTTAGGTCTCTGCCATCATCCAAGATCCTCATCCAAGTCAACTTCACTTTCACACTAACTACCCAATCTTGCCGTTTCAGTTTACGTAGTATTATTTCTTATTAATTCGTTCCAAACATAATTATACGGTATTTCTATAATTAAATTTACACTTTCTATTTTACCTGTAATGAAAAGATTTTATAGCCACGCAAATATTATAGCATGTTTAAGGTTACAAGTTTAAAAGTTTTATAAGCTACACAAAAATATTATAGCATATTTAAGATTACAAGTTTTTAAATTCTAATTTCTTTCTTAATTAAACTTTGTATGAATTATATTATATCACATAAATTAAAATGGGGTACTACACATGAAGGAGAGAGCAATTTCGTTACTCCACTTATGTGCCACAGGTTTATTTGCAGCCATACCTTATATTTATGCCACCTTTTAACCTATACCCTATTTTTAAAAATTATTGATTTGGTAGCCAGATGACAAAAAATCCGTAATAATATGACCATTATACCCGTGACAAAACATATAAAAAATGCATCCCGCATAAATCACTTTACGGTTCTCCTCCATCACCCCGTCTCTCCTCAGATCTCCTCTCGCAAACCAGAAATTTGAGCCAGATTCAAATTCCAAATTCAAAATTACAAAATACATTGTAAGTATTGCAATTCATCTTCAGAATTCAAATTAGTTTTTGAAACTGATTGATCTTCATGATATATGTTTCTATAATTATTTTCGTAATTCACACTTGCATGAAGTTGTTTGACGGATGAAACATAAACTTTTCACTGATAAATTTCACTGACGAATGAATTTGCATTCTAAATTTGTTTCACGTTGAATTCTAAAGTGAAGCAGAAGATTCTTCACGTTAAACCTAATTTTAATATCAAGGCTAAAAATTAAAATATGCTGAAGTTTTGTACTACATAACATGCTGAAGTTTTTGGTTTATTTGCTAAACAAGCTAGTTTTTACATAATTTGCCAAAACTTCACACCAAAAATGCTGAAGTATTTGTCTTGTAGTCTAAACAAGCCGATGTTTTTTGGTTCATTTGCTAAAACTTCAGCACTAAAATATGCTGAAGTGATGTCCTGCGTTCAATAGTTTTATCATGAGCTTTTTTCGAAAACTTCAGCATAAAAATGCTGAAGTTGTTTAGTTCATTTTAAAAACTTCAGGAAAAACGAGCTGAAGTTTTTCTCCTGCACTACGTAATTTTATTATGATTTTTTGCTAAAACTTCATACCAAAAAATGTTGAAGTTTTGTAGTATGTTGAAATATTTTAGTTCATTTGCTAAAACATGCATAATCTTTTGTCCTGCAATATGTAAGTTTTTAATGAGTTTTTGTTAATGCATGCTAAAGTTATTTAGTTCATTTCCTAAAAATTCATATTAAAACATACTGAAATTTTGTATTATTATGCTGAAGGAAAAACATAGTTTTTCCCTCTGTTATTTTCTGAGTTTAAAGAGAACTAATATTAAAAAAATGCACAAAAACATTAAAACAAAAACATGATATTTCATTAAATAAAATAAATATAAATTAAAATTTCATAAAAACAGAAATAAGATAATAACCCTTTAAATAAAAGGATTATACAAAAAACAACTAATCATCCATATCATCATCGTCGTCACTGTCAGATGGACGAGCTTCTGCATCTCCAAGGCTATTATAGGAGCCATCTCTGGCCAGCATCTCAAGCCTATCGAGCTTGGTCTTGATTTCTTCCAAATTCCTATCGTACTTGTCTATGAACTCATCTTGTTTCAACTCGAATGCCTCTATGATATCTTGCTTAATTTTGTCAATGATTTGCCTGATGACAACATCCATTTTCCCTCCCTTTTGTATGTTATCTCCTAAAATATATGTGTTTGAGTGAATAAACTCACAAGGCACCCAACCGGTCGTTTCATGAGTTACCGCTCCGTTTTTCCCATTTCTGCATCTTTATGTGTTGTTCAGTTGTATTATGTGGTATCGGGTTGGTTAGTTCGGGTTCAGAGTGATTTTGGAGTGGAATGAGACACTTCGTCTCTTAAGTTGGCCTTTTAGTTGGAAAAGTCAACTGGAAGTTGACTTGAGAGTAAATGATCTCGGAATTTATTTTTTATGGTTCTGATAGCTTCGTTAGGTGATTTGGGACTTAGGAGCGTGATCAGAATGTATTTGGAGGTCTGTGGTAGATTTATGCTTGAATTGGCGAAATTGGAATTTTGGCGTTTTCCGGTTGGTAGTGGAAATTTTGATATCGGGGTAGGAATAGAATTTTGAAAATTGGAATAGATCCGTTGTATCATTTGGGACGTGTGTGCAAAGTTTCAGATCATTCGGATGAGGTTTGATAGACTTTTTGATCGTTTGCGAAATTCAGAAGTTTTGGAATCCTTAGGCTTGAATCATAGGGTTTTTGTTGTTGTTTTGAGTGTTCTGAAGGTTGGAATAAGTTTGAATAGTGATATGTGACTTGTTGGAATATTTGGTTGAGGTCCCGAGGGCCTCAGGATGGTTTTGGATGGTTGGCGAAAGATTTGGAGTTTGAGTGTAGCTGCAGAATTTTTTGCTTCTGTTGTTTCCGCAACTGCGTTGATCGCAGGTGCGTAGGGCTGACCGCAGGAGCAGATTTAGTCGCAGGAATGGATGGATAACCGCACCTGCGGGCCCGTAGGTGCATGGCCTGGGGCGCAAGTGCGGAAGTTGGTCTCTTAAGTGAAAATCAAAGAAGCGGGATTATTTCCGCAGAAGCGGTAGCACAGGTGCGCTTAAGGGACCGCAGATGCAGAATCCCTAGGTCAAAAACTATATAAGCATTCCTTTACGATTTTCAGCTTATCTTCTCTATTTTTGATACGGGTTTGGAACTTTTTGAGGGGATTTGAAGAGGGATTCAAAGGATAACGCTTGGAAGTAAGATTTTTGAACCCAATACTCGATTTTATGACATTATCTTACCGATTAGGCTTGAAATTATTGGAAATTAATGGTTAAAATTGGAGAATTAGGGGTTGGTATTGGATAATTTCCATTGGGGATTTGAGGGGCATTTGGGGTCCGATTTTGATGTTCTTGGTATGCATAGACTCGTGGGAGGATGAGGCTTCTAGTGATGTAATTTTTACCGAAATTCGAGACGTGGGTCTGGGGGTTGGGTTTGGCCAATTTCGGGATTTTTGATGTAATTTGATTATTTTCACTTGGGCTTTGTTCCTTTAGCGCGTATTAATGGTATGAATCTAGTTTTGGTTAGATTCGGAGAATTTGGAGGCCGATTCGAGAGACAAGGGCATCGCAGGCTAGAGTTTGGACCGGATTGAGGTAAGTAATGATTGTAAATGTTGTCCTAAGGGTATGAAACCCCAGATTTTCACATCGTGGTACTACTTTGAGGTGACGTACACGCTAGATGACGAGAGTGAGGTCGTGCACCGTTGGGGATTGTGACTTGTTCCGTCCCGTACGACTGCTAAGTCGCGTATTTGATTGAAAATTGTTCGATATTATTGTGTTTTGGAAAATATTACTATGTTTTGGGTTGAATGCCATATTTGGGACTCGTGCCAACTGTTTTGGACCCTTAGGGGCTTTTTACTTCTATTCCTTACTGTTTTGACTTAATATTTGTACTCAGTCATGTTGTATTCTACTATTTTCATAACTCAGCCGTATTTACTCCATTTTGATATTTTAAATGATATTTCGGGCTGAGCATCATGTTTTACTATTGCCTGAGTGGCTTGAGAGGTTTCTGACTAAGTGGGGCTGATGGCCTGTGTTGTGAGGATATTATGGGATCGGGAGGATATTATGGGATCGTGCTGCGCGCCGCAACATGTTGTACTGATTTGTGATATATGAGAGGTTGAGGGCATGATTTGTTATGCCACGAGATGGCTTGTGATAGCGCTTGGGCTGTAGGAGCCCCTCCGAAGTCTGAACTCCCCCAATGAATGCGGGTACCCAGTGTGAGAGATGTGTTATTGCCGGATGAGCTGTTGTTGTTTCATATTGTTGCCCAAGGAGCTAATTACGAGTGATTGTGAGGTAGCCCGAGGGGCTGGTTCTATTGATATTTTGCCCGAGGGGCGGTTTGTGGTACATGTTTTTCCTGATGGGCTGTTTAAGTTTCTATTTTTACTCACTGCTTTTATCACTCGTTTGAAACTATTGAAAGATGTTTTAAATAGGTTTTACTGAACTGAGTTGTTTTTATGAGTTAATTGATTTATTGTATTGTACTGGACATATACTGTTTTGCTGTAGTTCTATGGCGTGGAAT